GTTGATTGTTTATATTTTAGATTGATTTAATTTAATAATTTTAATTTAATTGTATTTAAACATGCCTTCAAAATAAAATATAGTTACACCAAAAAATGAATATAATGTGATTTAACATTTTAACTCACTAGAACGCTAAATCAATGAGAACTCTGAGCTTGTTTCTTTGTAACAAGACGGTTCCATCTGGGTGTAATAGGAGACAATGACACCCGAAGTGTGTTTCTTATGTCCAGTTTATTCCGTTGTTCCGTCGTCCATTAAAAGTCGCACAAACCCGAGAGAAATACACCGTAGTAAACAAAATGGAAACACCAGTAATTTAATGTTCCTTGGGCGGCCCGGTACCGGTCCGCGGCCCGGAGGTTGGGGACCACTGCTCTATACAATATACAATAAAGTATCGATTATCTAAAAATCAATTCTTCAAAAAATCGATTAACCGAAATCGACTTCAGAGAGCAATAATTCCAAAAATTACGAAGTTTTCACGATTTCTGTAATTCACTATTGAGCTATTTCGTTATTATTAATATCATTATTATGTATCTTTTATTTTGAGTTAAAAGTTTCATGAGTATGCTGTAGATTGCAATGAAAGATTAGTGCTTGTTTTAATTTGCTAGTTAATTTGCAATTAAGACTAGTGCTTGTTAATAATTTAGACAATTTTTTTTTTTTGTTATTTCTAATCATATGGTGTTAAATTTCTGACTTAATCTTTCTATTTTTTCTATTGCGCTGGAATTAAAATTAATATTTTTTCTTTTATTCTTTCCCTACACCGATAGTCATCGATTAGTTAAGTGTCCTGCTCTGATCATTTTGAATAATCGACGCTCTACTGTATAAACATTTATACACTATAGGTGTATTCAGAGGAGCACGAAAGGAATAAGGAAAGGAAAGAGATATACGTGGTATATCTCTTTACTAACCATTAATATATACTGTACATATATTTACTTATTTCAGAGAAAAATATATTTTTATATATTTTTACAATGTACAGTACAATANATTAAATTTCTCAGCAACATGAATTGTTGTGTTTTTGTTTATATTTTACTGAGTTAATTGACTAGATTATCAGAAGAATGGGGTTTTGAATGACGTTTTCATTATTTTTTCCAAGCTGAAAAGAGCAACTATATTTTTATATATTTTTAACATGTTACATAATTTTATTTTATAACTCATAACATGCCACATATATACCATATTTTCGCTATATTTGTCACTCAATACAAAATAATTTTAGTTATTGAGAACTTTCAGAATATATTTAACGCCGTATTGAAGAGAAAAATATATTTTTATATATTTTTACAATGTACAGTACAATAATTCATCGATTAACGCGGTTAATGTATCCAATGGTATGTTATTTGAAATTGTGCTAATCGAAAAACAGTCAGTACAAATTAGGTTAATCCAAAACTTTACTAATTTTTTAAATTTATTTTTATTCTTCTTTTATGAGGTCTAATCGCAAGGTATATTAACAGCATATTCAAAATTGAAAATTTATTAAAAAGAAATTATATCTTATTATATGTAAACATATATAGTATGTAAAAAAACAGTATGTATTATTGTCTATACTTTAGAAAATAAAAAAATTTTTAACGCAAATCCGATCTAAAAATGCATCTTTGTACAGCTTATAATTTCAATATTTAGATCAACTGCGAATATGGGACATTGCAGGTTTCTTCTGTGAAACTTCTTGAGTCGATTGACCAAATAATCTACTACAGTAGAGCGTCGTTTATCCGAATCAATTGGGGACTGGGGTGGTTCGGATAACTTATTTTTCGGATAACGAATCATGTACGTAAAAATATGTTAATTTAATCCATGTTGAAATTTTTCTCCGTTGCGTGTCGCTTCGCATTGAATTTTCGTCGATGTTAAGCCTAACGAAGACTATTGTATCGTTAAAAATTATTTTTTTATTTTGTGCAAACAAAATAAATATATTGAAAAATATGAAAACAATAAAAAATTATGCTTCACATGTTAATTTAGTATCAAAAACGTAAAATATTTGAGTAACCCAAGAAATAACCGAAGATTGCAGCGCCACAGCACTAGCGAAAATTTTAATTTGCCGACTGGAATGCTTTCGGATAACCAGCTTTCGGATAAACGACGCTCTACTGTATTAATTAATGAAAGACAAAGTACAGTTTTTTTATATATATATAAAACTCAACTTATGAAAAAATTTGAGGAATTTTATATATTAGTTCTTGCCAATAATTTCTTATTCTACTAAATCAGAAAGGGGCAATTAAAAAAGTTTAATTAAGTCAGTAATTTGCCAAAGGTTCGTAAGTTACAATGACATAGTTTTTAGATATTCATAAAAAGCAATTTTCTATTAGTAAAGGAAATTGCTATAGCTAAACTTAGTAATCCATTATTATTGTATTTGAAAAGAGCTTTCTAACAGTAAATATGCTGTTAAAGAAATGAATCAGTTTTATAATATTCATTATGCAAATGAATAGACTTAGTATCTTTTGGCAACTTAATACTTTTACAATGCATAAATTTGCAAATAGACTATATATTTTTCAGTGTCATTTCACATTCCAATCATTTCTTATTATTAATAATTAAAAGTTCCATTCGTAACGTTCTATTAGTAATAATTTATGAAATAAATTAACAGTTAAATTATTAATTATTTATATGTTCATTATGCAAGGTGTCCCAAAATGATTACCTGGATTTCAGAATGTTATCGCTTTACACTGATGTCACTAATTTCCAATTTTTTTTTCGCAGTTGTGTTTATGCACTCTTAAAGTTTGATTGCTATTTATTCCAGTTCCAAATTCCGCCGGTAGATGCACTGTATCTATTGAATCTGTGAAATGGCGTCGATACAGGAAAAGGGACAGTATGGCACTTCAAGGACAAGGTTTATGAGACATCTGTGCCAGATTTTTCGTGAATGCATCATATAAACGATTGAAAGTGTCACTCCTCAAATGTTTCAAAATGTATGGTGGGAGATAGAGTACCGATTGGACACTTTGCATGTCACTGGAGGTATCGATATTGACAAGTGAGTGTGTAAAATAAAAACTGAAAACTTTATAATTATTCATATTTATGAGCAAATTTCGGTGCCTGTACTTATATTCCTTAAAATGTTATAAGCAGTTGAAATCAGGAAAATCATTTTGGGATACTGTATGATTTCCACCTTCCAGTTCGTACTTAGATTAAAAAAATAATAATTTTTCTTGTTAAATAGTGGATGAGAATACAATTGAATTTAGACAATGAATAACATTAGCTTAACTCAAACTTTTAATTAGATACTTACAATTAAACATATATTGAAATTACTTACTAAATCCAATTTCTACTGTATAAATTTCTGATTTGCATAACTTGCACTGTTTAGTTTCTCCAGTACATTTAGTCACTGATATTTCTGCATCTTTTGAAAATAAGTCTGTATTTTCACCTAAAAAGAGAATTAAAATAGATAATTAAAAACAGAAGAGAAAAATAAAACAAAACATTCTCGTTTCAAATTTTGAGTCAATCAATACTATCGACTATCAATAAGATTACGTACATAATGACGACCGGATAGCCGAGCAGATGGCAGCCTGCCGCTCTGGGGGACCTGGGATCGAATACGAACGGGTCAAAAATCCCCAGGAATTTTTAGGGGGTGGTCCGTCCAGATATATCGGGTCCTATCCCTCAGCACCCGGCCGCACCATTGTGGTTTTGGCTGAATTCAAAATGGGCTTGCTAGAAGAGGCCCTCTTAGTACCCACACGGCGGAGAGTTTGAAAGAAAATTATATACATATAAGTATAAACTGTCTAAAACAGACTTCTACAAAATTAGAAGTCTGCAAAATCTAAATCTCGGAACAGAACGATTTTCTACCATAAAATGTCGTCATAAACCTGAAACCTGTCTAACACTCACGTTTTGGGAACTATTTGCATGACAAGATGATCAAAGTAAAGTTTTTCGACATAACAGCAACTAAATAGGAATACAAGATCATAATTAATGGAAATAATTAACTTGTGGAAACAAATTATGATTAACTTCTGGGCAATGAAAGTTAGTCTATTTTTACTTTCCTGGCTCTGTTATATATAACAAAGGGAATGAATGGCGATTGGTTAAAAAATAATCCTTCAAAATTTTTACATTTTTGGACTCTGGACCTTGAAACGTCAAGAAAGGCAAAAAACATTTGGGTTTTTCCGGTATGTATCTATGATTGTTAGTGTATCTGTGTATGTGGGAGGGCACAATTTTCTTCAGTCTTTGAAGTTAATAGAGAGGTTGCGAAGTTTTCAGCGCAAATCGTGAACGTCGAACGTCGAGCGCCGCCATCTGGCAATTCTAGAAGGTTGATAATGGCGTTCGCTACGTCTAGCATGTCGAGTAGTTCGGCTTAAACTTCATTTTTTTGTGTTTGGGGTTAAAATTATAACGTAGTTTATTAAAATAATGATTATTTAAGCATTTATGAATAATATTGTAAAGAAACAGACAATTTTAATCCAGAAATTATTTAACAATTCAATTTTTTTTGCAAGTGATGTGAAGTGCCTATAGAATTTACGTATATTTCTGTTCATAATAGCTTATCATAATTTTGTAGGAATAAGTTTGTTCTTTCACAGCATCTTCTACCGTCAACAGCGTACTACGTTTGTAAATTTTCTAAAAATAATTTCCCGAGGTGCTTTCGGATTTACATAAGCCACTACTTCCCTCGACAAAAGTATAAGGTAGTCCTATCGTACGGTAGGAGACAGGACGCTACCGTCAGACAGTGGCTTTGCCAGACAGTCGCTTTCTGCTTTAGACAGATTTACTGAATATAAATGTTAAATATTGTTTAAACAGACAAATATTTTATATATATAATATATATATACACGCTATATATTAAAAATATTTATAGTTGAAATACTTGCTCAAGTTCTGTTGAAACATTTGAATTAATTCGAAAAACAAATTAGTTTCAAGCTTTCTATGCGTTTCTAAATAACTACGCATTACGAACTAATTTTCTACTCGAATTAAGTTAATATCAATTAAAAGCCATAGCTACTTTAAATAATATAATTTTTATGCTTAAAGGATAAATATCTATTTTAATAAATTTAATTATTTTACTCTTTTTGAAATTAGAAAAATCGGGATGAAGAAAGAAGAAAAATAATTTCTTGAATACTGTATCTAGATCTAGAAATACAGTACAGTGGAACCTCGGTATACGACCTTAATCCGTTCCTGATGTTTGGACTTATACCGAATAGGACGTATACCAAACCAACCTTTCCCATAAGAAGTAATGTAGAAACGATTAATCCGTTCTCATGTAAAAAAATGGCTGACTTTAAACACCTAGCTATCCTGGTTAGTTTCTGGTTGATTCTTCATTAGATCAGCATGTGTCTTTTTAACTTTCCCGCAAATAATTGCTTCTGTTGCTACTAGGTTTGCCATATGTTTCGCATATTTCAAGTGATTTTTAATATCAGTTCTGATACGCTGTCGCCAGCACACTGTTTTTCAGATATCCAAACCAAAAGCAATTTCTCACATGATCTAATATTCTTGATCTCTGTTTAGAAATTGATTTAACCCCTTTCGCAACGTTAGCAGATTTAATAATGTCTTTAATTTTCACGATTGTCGATATCATCATTCTCGGAATACGGTATGCAGCAGTTAAATCTCGAACACGCATACAGCTTTCATATTTCTGAACAATCTTTTTTTTTCAGTTCCATTGTGATTCTAGTCAATTTTTTAGTTTTCTGTTGCTTTTCATTTGCCTTTTTGCAATTCATCATGAATAAAACTAATTAAATTTTACTTACAAATTAAAATCAGAAGAAATTTAACAAAGTTAATAACCGTGGCACCGCGAACGTTTAGTCTGGCCTATAGTGCTACTTGTTCATAGATGGTGCGTATAATTGAATTACATTAAGTCGTATACCGAACAAAAGTCGTATACCGAGCAAAATTTGTTTTGTCCAAACAGGACGTATTCCGAATTGGACGTATTCTAAAGCAGACGTATACCGAGGTACCACTGTATATACTTTGGCTAGATGGCCAAGGCCAGTGATGCCGAACACGCCACCCATGGGATATATATATACACATGCATACAGGAAATCATCGCTAATCGTTAATTCAAACTCAGACAGTTCGAAATTCCGCTAGTTCGTAACTGTTCTTTTGTCCTGGCTGGGGATATAGAGATTTACACGTTAAGGAATTCGGTTAGTTCGAAATACATCTACTTCGAAATTCGAAGTGAAAATTCTGTCCGAACTGTGAAATGCGTACGTGAACTCATTCGTTGAGATCGAACTGCTGCCTCCGTGCTATGAGAGAACAATAGACCAAGAACAATATGACTTTGCTTATACAGTAACACATTTTCGGGTGTCAACTTGCCCATGGACTACTCTTTTTTCTCTCTTATCTCATAAAATACGACTGATTTTCGGGATTGCAAGAATGAGCTATGAGTAACAGATTGAGATATTTGTATGATTCTATGCCACTACTTTTAGGCGACTTACTATGTTTTTGGTCACTTTAAAATTTATTTGGGCTACATTTAGAGGAATTCTGCTTTAATATTTATCAAATCTGGAAACCTGTGAAGTTCTGGAAAAGTAAAGCAGTGAGGTTCTTATCAGATACGTGCTGTTTACCTTCACATTTATACTACAGTATTATTAATTTTTAATTAAAGAAAATAGCGTTCTGTATACGTGCCCGAATTCCGTTTGCTTAATAAATTACATCAGTCACATACATAGCATTTGGCATATTGTACAGATATATATAAAACTCGGATAATTCCACGTCGCGATTATTTCATCCCTTGAATTTCGAACTAACGAGGATTTCCTGTATTTGATATATTTCAAAACTTTGCATATGTTGTATGAAAGCAAAGTTCTAAAACTGTCCAGAAAAGTTAAAGACCACTAATTATGAACCTCAGGAAAATTATCATCAAATAAATGACATATTCCATTAAACGAAATCTTTGATTCCACATAATTATTTTCTATTTATTTATATAGAATTCATTTTTATATTTCTGATATAAATTAAAAAGTTAAATTTATAAGCATTTTTTTCTTTTCTTTTAATTATTCAAATTAAGCATTTGACACGCGATTTGGAGTTAATAAATTTCGAATTCAATTTCGACCAATTTCAACCATTGTTTCATAATGGAGGCGATGGAACAGCAAAGGATATGACCCGACATATCTGGGATTTACTGTCCATAAAAAATTTCTGAGGTAAAACCCGAGTTCCAGTCTGGGACAGGAACCTCAAAAATTATTCAGCTAGTTAGACATTTCCCGACCGCTTGATATGAAGAGAATCCTTGACATATCCGAGACAGATCCACGGAGCAGCCGCAAAAAGACCCTTTTAGTTGCCCACAGGCAGAGAGTTAAAAAGATCTTTCAAATAGAAGTATGTATTAATATATTCATATTTCATGATTATATTTGTGAGGTCCCGGACGGAAGTCGAAATTAAATCTTTTGAATGATGAAAATCCAGCGGGACAGTTAAATTGTCACCTTTCAAAATTAAAACAAAGCAAGACTTAATGTCTAGATTAAACAATTAGTTTACCAGTAAACTAAAAACGGAAAACGAAATGATAGAATTACAGGAAGAATATCAAAATTCGAAGAAATTTTAGATGAACGAGAATTGGGTTAAGTCTCGGAAATGACTTCTCCTGTGCCCAGAAAGGTTTCGAATTGTCACCGAGAGACGAGGGAAGACCAATCGGAACGCGGAATCCAGGAGAGAAACCTATAAAAACGCGTTTCAAGGGCATGAGGTTCTTTTCTCCAAAATTTAGTTTTTCCGTGCAAGTCCACTGTTAGTCTTTTCATCTATCTCCGAGAGACATTCGCTCTCCTGGAGTTATTCGCGCTCTTCAAGATTCATCCTTACTACAAGGACTATTCTTTTAATTAATTAAAGGCTTTATCTTGCAGATCTTGCAGACTGCCAACCAGGGACCGAGTGAAGACATCCTACGGAATATTAGAACTTTACTGGACTCTCTCCTTAAGAATTGTGGCAACAAATAATTAGAAACTTTTGTAAGAAAATCTTTAATACTTAATTAAATGGTAAAAAGCATGGTAAGCCTATCTCAGTGACTATGTTATCAGAAATTACACAATCACCTTATCACATCAATACTTGAACATATTACACAAGTTGCAGAACAGATATATCATACTGAAGAGCGGACACTCACTGATAATACCTCAACAAAATGTACACTCAGTAACACTATAAACACTAACATACACAGAAATTTATTCCTGGGGTTTTTTAATCCGTCTGAATTCGATCCCAGATTTCCTTCTGCCCTAACTGCTCAGCTATCCAGCTGCCACTTTATATATCAAA